TGTACTACAGGTTACAGCTCCTTATTCTTTAACTTAGAATAGTCTTACTAAGGTTAGCAATTATATCGTGTATACGACTACGAGAAAGATAATGCTATAGGCCAACCTTCTAAAGTCTCTGTAGCTATATGCTATTGCCTCCGCTATATAGGTCCTTAATATTACGCTAACTATTAATAGAGGAAGCCTATATACTATTATAGCTAAGGAGCTTAATTAGTTACGAATACAGCTACGCCTATAGCACCTTCGAGCTTATAGCTATACTACAGTTGCCTACGATTACAGTATAACTCGCGGAAAGAAGATAGACAGCAGAGGCCTAGTTAGCAAGCTAGTTGGCTATGCTAAGGGCTCTATAGACTCTAGAAAATATATGATTTACCTGCCTAATTAATACAAAGTTATCGCTTCTAAGGACGTCTAGTTTGTTAAGTTAGGGGGTAACCTCCTGCTTCTAGATAGCATAAAGCTATATACTAACACTAACGACTTGTCTAAGAACGAGTTTGTCACCCTTAAGTCTATTATACCGGCTTTGTTTAATTCTACAAGCAACGAGGCTCCGTCGCCTGCCGAGGCTGCTAGTATAGTCTAGCGGCTTCTAGCTTAGCAAGAAGAATAGCCTGTATAAGGACCTGCATAGGAAATGGCCGATAAGGTCGCTAATCCGTTGCTAATCGATAACGACCTTCTAGACGTTTAACCAGTTCCACTACTAGCTTCAAGTAATAAAGATAGCTTTTAGTTAGCCGAGGAAGAGCTAGCATATAATCCAAACGCTAAGAAGGGCGAGCTAGGCTAGTTGCCTGAGTTTGAGCGACCTCCTAAGGCTGTTAGTAATCGTTCTATACGTAAGACACGGAGCAACAAGTCGGCTCGTAACCTGTTACGTAGCTATCTAGCTAATTATAGTGTTAAGCGGTCAACTCGACGTATAATAGCTAACATGCCGATAGCCTATATTAAGGGTTTCATAGCTTCCTATTATATTACTAAACAGTCTAACAAGCCTAAGGAGACTATTCCTATTCCGAAGAGCTATAAGGAGGCGACTTAGTTACTATATTAGCTACAGTAGAAGGAGGCCTATAAGGCTAAGTACAAGTTACTAATCGACAACTATATATAGGTATATATGTCTCGGTTAGAGGTGCCTAAAGGTCGCAAGGTTGTCCGTAGCCGATAGGTCTTTACTATTAAGCGAGACGCTAATAGTAATCTAAGCCGGTTTAAGGCTCGTTAGGTCGTCCGTAGCTTTATATAGGTTAAAGGATAGGATTATAACGAGACCTATGCGGCTGTCGCTAAGCTATCTACGCTGCGAGCACTGTTTGGCTTGATTGCTTATTACGATCTAGAGGCTAAATAGTATAATATCCTAACTGCCTTCCTTAATGCCTTTATCGGCGACAAGCACAAGATCTACGTTAAACAGCTATACGGTTTTGAGGACCGTAGTAGCAAGGGCATAGTTTGCCTAAAATGTGCTCCTAGGCGGCTAGCGCGTGCCTAGAGGAGTGCGAGCGAAGCTTTCGCCTTATATATACTAAGCTAATTCGGTTCTTTAGACCTCGAAGCTAGACCTTGAAGCTATTACTATTATTATACGATTTAGTTCTATTAGAATAGTTTATTAGGAATAAGTATTTTTATATTTTTGTATTACTATTTTTCTTTTCTAGTATTTTAGATACTACTTTATTATTTTTAACTTTATATATATTACTTACTTTTATTCTAGTTTTCTCTAATTTTTTATATCTATTACTACTTTTTATATTATTAAAAAAACTATTTTTAATTTTTTTCTTTAATGTTTTACAGTTTTTCTATTTAGTATCTTACTTGTTTTACTTACCTATTTTATATTTTCTTATTTATTTTTATTATATGTTTTCTTTTTTCTAATACGTCTAAGTCCTCTTATTTATATCCTTATTTATTACTTGTTTTCTATCTTACTACTTAGTTTAGTACTAGCTTATTATTTAGTCCATTAATTAGCTTATTATTTAGTTTATTATTTACTTTGTTCTCTAGTTTTTTATTTAATCTATTATTTGCTTTATTATTTAGTTTCTTCTCTAGTTTATTATTTACCTTCTTTTTAACTTTATTATAAGTTATTTATTTACTAGAATATAATTTATTTTATTAATTGTTTAACTAATTGTTTAACTAATTGCTTTACTAATTGTTTAATTAATTATTTAATTAATTGCCTTACTAATTGTTCTACTATTGTTTTATTCATTGTTTTATTAATTGTTTTGTTAATTGTTTTGTTAATTGTTTTGTTAATTGTTTTATTTATCGTTTTATTAATTGGTTTATTAATTGTTTTGTTAATTGTTTTGTTAATTGTTTTGTTAATTGTTTTATTAATTGTTTTGTTAATTGTTCTATTAATTGTTTTATTAGTTGTTTTATTAGTTGTTTTATTAGTTGTCTTATTAGTTGTTTTGTTTGTTGTTTTGTTAATTGTTTTACTAACCAGGATAGTACCCGTACGTAAGTACTTCTGCTCCTTCTACTTACGTAGTAATAGCGGTAGCGCCCGCGAGTTTTTAAATTTTATATATACCTAGTATAGCGGAGCCGCGAATTTTAGGGTTCCTCGCTCTTATTCTCGCTCTCGTTCCTTTAATATTTTTCGGTAATTTTATAAATTTAAATCGTATGTTTTCTATAATTAAAATTAATTTTTCTATAGGTTCTTTTATTAAAAGTTGTTTTATAAATTCTTTTATTAATGTTTTAGTTAATTTTCTTATTAATTTTCTTATTAATTGTTTGTATATTTTACTATATATTTTACTATATATTTGAAGTATTAGAAGGAAGGCAAAAGGCTTTACTAGCGGTTGTTCGGGAAGTCGGCGGTTGTTCGGGAAGTCGGCGCTTGTTCGGGAAGTCGGCGCTTATTCGGAGATACTAGCGCTAGCTCCGAAAGTCTCCACCTTGTAGGATTCAGCCAATCAGGTTGCGGGGATTCCAAAATCCGGGGTTGCCTTAGCGTTACGTAGATGCACGAACGACGATTCCTACACTAGAGTACAGTCCTTGCTATATAAGGCGAGCTTCGCTCGCAATTACTAAAGGCACTATATAGTCTAAAGCAGTTACTAATGCTATAGTATAAAGAGCTTCGGAAGTACTTAAAGAGCCTAGACTTTGTACTAATAATAACTAACGTATATATGTTTAAACACGTTGTTAGCAGCTCGATTATCGTTATCTACGTCGATAATATAATTATTATCGCCTATAGCCTATTAGTACTAGAAGCCGTTGCTTAGATGCTAAAGGACCGATTTAATATACGAGAACTTAGTAACCTACACTACTATCTCGGCATGCGGATCATCCGTAACTGTAACTAGCGCACTATCTATGTCGTTTAGGATGCCTATCTGAATAGGCTTAGTAAGAAATATAGTATACGTAGCCGTATCGGTCTAGCTACTCTAATAGCGCCTCGATATGTTAAGACATCGATTTAGCGTATACCTAAAGGCTATATAGCTAGTGCCGCCTTTAAGACTTAATATTAGGAGGGTGTTAGTAAAGCCCTCTAGCTAGTAATAATTACTCGGCCGGATGCTTGCTATACTGCCGGCCTATTATCGCGATTTATTTTAAACCCGACCGAGGAGTATTATACCGCGCTTCTTTAGCTAATTAAGTACATAGTTGGCACTCTAAGCCGTAGCATGCGCTTTTAAGGCAATTAGAACGAGGCTAACGACCTCAAATTCGCTAGTTACTATAACGCCTTATAGGCTAATAATCTAGTTACTCGTCGCTCTACGGGCAGCTTCTACTTTACTATCGTAGGCGGACCTCTGTTATATAAGTCCGGCCGCCAGACGCTTGTTACACTGTCGTTAACTAAAGCTAAGTATATCTAACTTACTATAGGGGCTAAGGAAGCAGTTGCCTTAGCTCGTTTATTAAAGGAAATTAGCTATAAGGGCTATATTCTTCTAGTTACGCTCTACGAGGACAATTAGTCCGCTATTGCTATTACTAAGTCGACTAGTATTAATAGCCGCACGAAGCATATAGATACTCGAGTCTACTATATCCGAGAGAAGATTGCTAATAGTTCTATTATAGTCTAATAGGTTAGTATATATAATTAGATAGCCGATAGCTTTACTAAGCCGCTTAACAAGATTAAGTACGGCCGCTTTGTTAAACAACTAAACCTAGTAGATTGCAAGGCCGCTATTAAGAACGCTACGAAGCTAGCTACTAAATACTAAGGAGGGCCTTTGTTTGCTTTGTCTATTTAACCTAAGAGTAGTCTAGTTTGTTCACCTGTTTTGTTTAATTACCTAATACCCTCCTGTTTGCTTTGCCAACTGAATGGCTAATGTGTTTGTTTCATTCTATAGCGATATGCACCTGCTGAGGGGGTGACTTAGAGTGTGTGTCCAGGTGTCAGGGTCCATCACGTGCCTGATGCCTGAGGCTGCAACTGCTGCACTTCATCTTCGGACTTCTACATAGATTAGTCCTTCTTCCCAATACATCAGTTACATCAAGTGTGTGTCGTGTCTTCCGATGGTGAGGCTTTTCTGCATCCAGACACGGCTTACTGAGGATTTCCCATCAATCAAAGCAGTCCAAGTGGGCCTTTCAATGGCCTTCCCGGTTTGACGAGTCCCGACCGGAATGCCGAACTGCATTTCAGAAGCGGTCTTCAGCCGCTGGACGATGGTCGCTCCGGCCACACTGTACCTCTTGCAGTTCTCCGTGGACGCCTTGCTCTGCATGATGGCGAGGTCATGCCGCTAGACGAGGACGAGTTTGGCGCTGGTATGTTTAGTCAGCTTCATGGCCATGTATGATGACTGCATCATGGCGACGTACACAACCTTCCGGAATCGAACACGACGACTGCTAGCACGGCAACCGTATCGCCCCAATTCCGCCAGAATGTGATCGCACTGGCGAGAATGAGTCTGACAATGAAGAGATTGATAGATCTTGAGGACGATGTCATGTGAAGTACAAGTGTACAGAAATTTTGTATTGCATGGAAGGACCTGTCTGTGGCGGCCAGTCGCGACTTTGTGAAATCTGAGTCTTTCTGAGGTCGCCATGCTCAGCGCACATTCTTTCCAGAACTAGAAATAGATGGGCCCCAGTCAGTGCATTTGTGCAGCGTGTACAGCTGATGGTCGCCTGGTCAGAGACCATCCGCGAACTCCAATAGCCGCCACTGGCCAATCACTTTCGAAGTCTTGCAATGGTGGGCCCCATTTCCGCACCCTGTTCGAGCGCCTCTTTGGTCTTCTCGTCAATGGCAAAGCGCTCCTGACACAGCTTGAGGCACTCTTCCGCCAAGCTAGGTGGGATCACAACCACGCCATCCACGTCTGCCACAACCCAGTCCCCAGGATTGATAACCAGTGGTTGTTCCTGTTCCGGAAGGTTGTACTCAATTGGGACATTGAGCTCGGAACTTCGAGTGAAGCTGTTCGAACCAAGAGAAGATTTACCTCGAGCAAACAGCTATAGCCTGTTAGAAAGACTCTGCGTGTGCAGCGTAGAGGAAACAAAGCCTATTGACTCACTGGCATTCCTAACTCTCGATGTTCGAGCAGATCTCGAAAATTTCCATCAACCACGACTCCCTCAGCTCCAAGGATCTTTGCTCGTGTCGACATGAGTCCACCCCAGCATGCCGAGAACAGGCCTTTTGGTTGGGACACAAACACCACGCTGCCTTTCGGGATACAGTCTGCGAAATGCTTGTCTGGTTGTGGAGCTGCTTTGTTCTTTGCATCGACCATTTTCACGGTATAAACCGGCCCAAAGATCTTGCCTGCGGACGAGTAGTGCGGCGAGAACATGCTGAGTCCATGGCAATATCCACTATGGGTAGCGATGGACGCAAGGTTAGCAATTGGCTCAGTCACAAGTTATCTTGAGGCGATTGATTGATCTCACCCATAGGGTACTTTGAGCTTGACAAGCGCATCCCCAATCTGGACTTCAAGTCAGCCACTCCTGGTAGTTTCGAGGTGGAACAAGTGTAGAATCTTCATACATCACAAGACGTGAAGCGCTTGAGCGCACTGAAGACGGAGGAAGACATGGTTGGGACTGTAGGCAACTAAGCCTCTACTGTATGATACAAGGCGTACTTATGTATTGCTGCGCTTGCGAACAACTCGGTTCCATGAGCGATATCGGTCGGGGCTGACCCGTGGCCAGCGTCCCTGGCCCCCTAATCTTGAATAAAACCTCCAGTTTGCATCTGGGTTGTTTGAAACGCTCTTGAGGTTGACTGAAATAGTCGGCTGTCATCGAGACAGGCGCTGCTTGCAATGGAGGTCGGTAGAGTGCATCGAATATCGTTGTCCATAGGAAGGCAAGGAGGATGGAGAGAATAGAACGGAGCGGGCCGCTCAAGTTCACTTCGTCATCTCGACGCTAAGCTCATTGTGGTATAGCGAAAGATCCGTGCACTCGTACAACAACATTGAACAAGCCAAGCCTTCCAACCTCATTCAATACCATCATCCACCTTCGGCAGCGCCTGAAAAAGACACACTGGCCGCCACGACCGTATGGAGTGGTATCGAATGTTTCCCATTATTTTCTCGCTCGGCGCATAATGGACCCAATTGGAGTTCAAATGGCAACCATGAATTCACTTCAAGCCTTTCAGAGAGTCGGTATTGACAGACTTATCCGCCACGAGTCATTCACGAAAGAGTTTCGTCTACTTGCAAGCTCACCTCCACGACGTAGTTCACGATCTTGGTCAACCGAATCGCAAAACGCACGACAGGATCCAGGCATTAATCACAGTTGCTGTCAGGCACCGCAGGGTTCGCATCTCGCCCTTCTTTGGACTGTAGCTTGGAACACAACTTCGGCCGAGAGCTTACTATCCGATGGTTCGGCGGAATCACCGGCTCTCGGAAGGATGTCTTTGTCACACGAAGTCGTTTATCACTACTCATGCTCTACACCACGTGTACGGCAGACCCTGAATTCCCATAACTCGGGAAAAGGACCACGCCCAAGAAGTCCAGTTCACCAGATCTCATCTCAACCTTATCGGACGTACAACCTGGTTGCGGCTGTCACTAACGCTTGTGCTGGAGCGGCGATGCTTGCCACCCGCCGCGGGAATCCCACTGTTCATGCGAACCGCTCTCAAATTCGGATCAGTGGATAGCGGAGTCTTGCCCAGGCTTGGGTGATCTCCACGCCCAGGCCCTATGCAAAGCCACAGATTACGTGTCACAGGTATCAGAAAGATATACTGGTATACTCTATGACTACAGAGAACAGGAAAGCTAGCTCGCCGAGCATCAACGCCATGCGAAATGGATGACAATCTTCCAAAATGACGCAAGCTCGGGCTAGCATTGCTGCGACTACAAGTGTTCTCCTTTCACATTCTTGCATTAGGGTCGACGCCCCCTTCGATGGTCGCACCTGTGATTTTCCCAGCAACAAATTCCTCAGCCATCTCGCTCAAAGTCATCCACTCCACACCAGGATGCTTGTTGATGTGCTCAATGATTCTGCGCCAGGATCAGTACAAAACCTTCGAGACTAGCCTGCAACACGCTACTAACCGATCATGCATCATGATCACCTGTGGCTTGCCTGAGACCTGAGGATGTATCGACATGGGAAAGATGAATTCATCATACTCGCGATAGGCGAAGTCAAATTGCTCTTTCCAGAGTGTCTCAACCGTATGCGTATCGACATAGCCTTGAGCCCAGCCCATATCTGGAATTGGATTCAGAGGTGGCCAGTCGTCGAGATGCCAATTCGAAGGGATCAACAAGAACGTCAGCAGGCGTTCGACTAAGTTATACTCCAGATTCTTACCTCAACCACCTTCGATGGCTTCATCGTAGTCATTGGCATCATCCAGGAGCTCGCTGAATTGGCTACATTGGTCTCCACCCACGAAAATGCCGAGGTATCCGGCGCCCAGTAAGGCTGCACATCATGATGCATGAAAGAGTGATCATAAAGAATGCCAGCATCCTGGAGCTGTGGAATCAACTCTTTCGACGTCGCCCAAAGTGGAGCAGTGTAACCCTTTGGCTTCTTGCCTGTGAACTTCGTCACTGCATCAATGGAGCGCGTGAGGACGTCCAGCTGCTGTTGTGCATTGAGCTTGGCGATGTTTTCGTGCGTGTAACCATGCAACCCAATCTCATGGCCGGAGTCTCTCACTTTCGCCAGCTGCTTTGGAAAGCTCTCTAACGTGTGCGCTGGCGTGAACCAGGTGGCTTTGATGCCGTACTTGTCGAACATCTTGAGCAACCTATCCGTGCCTACTGTAGCCCCAAAGACTCCTCGAGAGACATTTGTCGGAGTTTGTGGCGATCCATCGCAGGTGTTAATCCAGTTTGCCTTTGAGCTCATCAGCATCGTAGAAGGCCTTCATCGGACGAGGCCAAAATCAGATTACATACGACGGCGTCCAGGTCGACTACGAAGCACCGGTGTCAATGCAGTCTCTATGACTCGTCAGAGGTAGGGAAGAACATACTGCCATAACCAACCAAAACTCTTTTCTTGCCCATCTTGTCTTTGATCTCAAGGTCGTGAATCACAGCTTTGTGATAGCCAAACAGCTAAAGACTCCCCTCAGTCGGCTAACCGCACGGCCAATATATATGGAGCTAAGTCATCGTGCTCCTCCCGCAATCTCTCCTGGCCTGCGCCATCAGCCGTCGCCCTCCACCGATGGCTTCACAACAAGAATGCATAAGAAAATTGATTTCTGCTCTGGTACTCTACGACCCATAGCTCAGCTTTGTACAGCCAATGCCTCATCAAGGTGCTATCAACTCCGTATGCATTGATGTCGAACATGTTCTCTGAAGTGCAGGGTACACCCTGGTTGGTCGGACGTAGGCGACGGACTTGGGCGGCGGGTCATGGCAGAAGAGGGGCTCTCTTGAGCTCACGTCAACCAATGGTGGGGACATTATTGATACAGTGGAGATAGATGTCTCGTGATTTTGATGAATAATGTAGGGCGCAAGAAGCACATGAAGGGATCCTATCATAGATTGGATTGAATTGGATTCAGGAAGGAAGCGCTTCACAACACACGTAGAGTCTAACAAAATGCTGAGAATTGAATGCTCAGGTAGCCCGCATGAGGTAATAAGGGAAACCAAGTCGACTGCGGGCGGAAAAGAATGTGCTGATATGTGGATTAAATACAGATAGGCCTGAAGCATGGCGCTGAAGCTCGAGAGGCAATCGGGAGATGCATAGCATTCTATGCCAAGCAATTCCGACAGACTGCTGGAAAAGAGTGGCAAGAAGTGCAGGAGATTGCGGCCAAGTTCGAACCTGTCATACAATCAAAATGGCCCTCGTTTCTGGTGGAGATGGGAGGTGTGTCGCAACGGCTTTGCACTTCTGGTAGACTCTGTGCCGGCTGACTGGTAAATAGGCATTGCGAAGGGTGCTCGAGTACCATTGGTCGATGTCATTGCGATCAATGTTCGAACTGAGATCACTTTCGGTCTGTGGAACCAAGCCAAAAGTACAAGCGATGGCTGCACCGCGCTGTCGTGGAAGACCAATGATGGGGCGTTCTTGGCTCAGAATTGGGACTGGATGGAAGAGCAGAAGCCGAATCTCGTGCTTTTGACGATTCGCCAGCATGGCAAGCCAACGATCAAGATGGTGACTGAGGCTGGCTTGATTGGGAAGATCGGGCTGAACTCAGCCGGGGTTGGCGTTTGTCTGAATGCCATCAGAATTCCTGGATTGGATGGGGAGAGAATACCTTGCCATCTAGGATTACGTCTGGCTTTGGAGAGTGAAAGCGCAGAGCAAGCAATTGACAAGCTCAAAGGATATGGTGTAGCTTCTGCCTGCCACTACTTGCTGGCCGACTCGGAGCAGAGCGTTGGACTAGAGTGGAGCTCGTCCGATGTGCAGGAGATCCATCCACGGTCCAATAAGATCTTCCACACCAATCACTACATGGTAGCTCACCCCGGAGTGGTAGATATCCCTTGGCTCGACGACTCCAGCGTCCGACTGGCGAAGATTGAGGAGCTGTCTAACGTGGCAGAAAGGCAAAGCCTTACTTCGATCTCCAAAATGCTCTCGGACGAGACCAGCTACCCAACGAGCATATGCCGAGCGCAGAAGGATGCATCGACATTCGCGACACTTTTCAGTATCGTCATGGATCTGAGTGCTCGGAAAGCTGTGGTCAAGGTGGGAAGGCCGATTGCACCAGAGGAAGTGATTGAGCTTGCCCTCTGATTAGCTATCTTATCCGATTTTGCTCGTGTCAGCGTTTGACGTCTTTGCGCATTGCTTCCTCTCGGGCGTTCTCGATGTTAGCCCCCCTGACTGAAATCGAGGCAGCCTTCGGAGAGCTGCCTGAGCACATCGCATTCACATGAGCTTTTGGCTGAAGACGTCTGCATCGAACTGAAACTCAGCTTGCCAATCGTATGGGACAGCCGAGCTTGGGTTGTTCTGTGTCGTGGAACCAGTGACGTCCGCAGTGGGGTTGATAGTCGGCCACAACTCAAACAAGTCTGCCATATCACCAATGCTCTCGGCTGGTTGTATGGATTCCAGCGGGCTGTGAGTGCCGCCAGGTGAGCATTCTGTTGCTTTTGCTGAAGGAATGCCATGTACTCATCATAGATCGGCGTCCACAAGCGCTCAATGTCGTCAAGGCAATGAGCTGCCGCTGGCCAGCGCTCGGCGATTGCCGAGAAGAAGCGCGAGAAGCAGGACAGGTATTCTCGAACCTCCGTCAAAGTGTACGAATCCGAGATTTCCTCTTTGCAGTCCTTCAGTGCCTGTAAAAAGACCATGGCTGAAGCGAAAGAGTGGTGGCACGGATGAAAGACATACTTGAGAAAGCCATAACCTCGATTGGCCTGAGTGAAGTAGCCTGTGGCCACTTTGACAGCGGCATCAAAGGCTTTCATAAGGTGCTCTCGTTTGCGTGCTTTCAGTCCAGGGCAAGGGCGATACATCAGCACTAATATCCATTCGTATGCAATGTCGGCATATAGCTCGATCTCGTCCCATTGTGGCTTCAGCGCTAGATCTTCATTGCAGGAGGCGGACTGATGTACTTCTTCTTTCCACCGGAGAATTTTGAGTTCAACATCGTCCATCCAGCAGTCCAGAGCGGGATCCGAGAGGCACGGCGCGTTCTGGTAAAGCATTTCCAGTATGGAAGCCTCAATGATTCGGAACCCCCAAGTTAGCCGAGAGACAAATCTAGTCTCCACTCCCGTTGATTCGATCCCAGCATGAGTAATAGCCTGGTCACTTTCCGGAGACGGAAAAGAGACGCTAATATCTGCAGCCATCAATCGAAGTGGTCGCTGAAGACCTGCGCATACAGCTATTTCCATCTCGTATGCGCACCAAAAGATTCTTCTACGTTGTGTCGTGTGAAATATGGGATACTGCGGAATTATCCTCTGCACGTATGTTCTGAACAGGAATTCGGCGATGTGGAGTGGTATGGAGCTGATACTGAGTTGCTTCGGTCGTGGGTTGAGGATGGTTCTTGGATGGGTTTCGTTCAGATCAGACGCATTGTATGTTGCTTTCGGAATGCTTTCGCTGCCGAGCGCTCCGTTTATCGAGTCTCGGATCGGTATTGTCTCCGCACATGCGGAATTCGATGTCATGAGTTGACCTTCAAGGAGTGCAATGTGATTTTCGAGAAATTTGGTGATACTTCGAGGTGCAGTCTCATTTGTTGCGACGTCCAGCGCAACACAGAAGACTCCTGCGTCCAAGCACATGGAACAGGAGCTACCTATCGGATCGCATTTGATCTTCCTTCTCCTGCATCGCGCACACGTGGCGTCCGCTTGAGATATTAGTAGAAGTTGTCGCGTACCTGACAAGAACCTTGCCTATATATTCACTTGATGTAAACTGTGATGTATTCAGAAGAGGGCTAATCTACAGGAAGCCCGAAAGATGAAGTGCGCAGTTTCAGCCTTAGGCATCATGCACGTGATACCACACATACCACACACTTCAAGTCACCCCCTTATCGCGTGCATATAGCCAAACAAGCAAAGCAAACAAAGGGGTATTAGGTATAGAAACAACTAGACCACTTTCAGGCCATTGTAACAAAGCAATCTAATAAACAAACAAACATATCGAGCTAGTATAATAAAACTATCCTTTTAGTACTTAGTAGTAGGCTAAGCGGCGCTCTTAATAGCGGCCTTGCAATCTACTAGGTTCAGTTGTTTAACAAAGCGGCCGTGCTTAATCTTGTTAAGCGGCTTAGTAAAGCTATCGGCTATTTAATTATATATACTAACCTATTAGACGATAATAGTACTATTAGCAATCTTCTCTCGAATATAGTAGATACGAGCATCTATATGCTTTATACGGCTATTAATAGTAGACTTAGTAATAGCGATAGCGGACTAATTGTCCTCGTAGAGCGTAACTAGAAGAATATAGCCCTTATAACTAATTTCCTCTAATAACCGAGCTAGTATAACAGCCTCCTTCGCACTAGTTGTTAACTAAACATACTCGGCTTCTATAGACGATAGTGTAACAAGCGTCTAGCGGCCGGACTTATACAACAGAGGTCCGCCGGCAATAGTAAAGTAGAAGCCTCCTATAAAGCGACGAGTAATCGGATTATTAGCCTAGGAGGCGTTATAGTATCTAATAAAGTTAAGCTCGTTCTTATTCTGTATACCTCGGAAGCATAAGCTACGGCTCAGAGTACTAACTAGGTACTTAATAAGCCAAAGAAGCGCGGTATAGTGCTCCTTAGTCGGGTTAGAAATATATCGTAATAGTAGGCCTATAGTATAGCAAGTATTAGGTCGTATAATTATAGCTAGCTATAGCGCTTTACTAACACCTTCCTAATACTAAGTCTTAAAGGCAGCGCTAGCAGTATAGCCCTTAGGTATACGCTAAATCGATGTCTTAACGTATCGAGGTACTATTAGTATAGTAGGAGTTACTCGGCCCTATATGCTATACTTCTTACTAAGCCTATTTAAATAGGCATCTTAAACGACGTAAATGGTACGCTAATCGCGGTTACGAATAATCCGTATACTAAGATAGTAGTACAGGTCGCCTAGCTCTCGTATACTAAAACGGTCCTTTAGCAACTAAGCTACTGCCTCTAGTACTAATAGAGTATAGGCGATGATAATTATATCGTCGATATAGATAACAATAATAGAGCCGCTAACAACGTGTTTAAACACACACATATCAGCTATTATTAGTACAAAGTCTAGGCTCTTTAGGTACTTTCGAAGCTCTTCGTACTATAGCATTAGTAACTACTTTAGACTATATAGTGCCTTTAGCAACAGACAGACTATATTCTTGCCGCTACGGTCTTTAAAGCTATATAGCTGCTTAACGTAGATCTTATACTTATTACCAATAAGCGCATTAAGGAAGGCTGTTAGGATATTATATTGCTTAGCCTCTAGGTCGTAATAAGCAATTAGACTAAACAGTGCTCGCAGCGTAGATAGCTTAGCGACAGCCGTATAGGTTTCATTATAGTCCTGTCCTTTAACCTGTGTAAAGCTACGGACAACCTATCGAGCCTTAAACCGGCTTACCTTGCTATTAGCGTTACGCTTAATAGTGAACACCTATCGGCTACGGACAACCTTGCGACCTCTAGGTACTTCTAGCCGAGAAACGTATACCTATATATAGTTGTCTATTAATAACTTGTATTTAGCTTTACAGGCCTCCTTCTATTATAGCTAGTATAGTAACTCTTTTGCAGCCTTAAAGCTCTTTAGAATTAGAATAGCCTCCTTATTCGGGTTCTGCTTAGCAACGTAGCAGGCAGCTATAAAGCCCTTTACATAGGCTATAGGCATGTTAGCTATATTGCGGCGCGTAGAGCGCTTAACACTAGCATTAGCTAGATAGCTACGTAACAGTTCACGAGCGCTCTTATTGCTTCGTATCTTGCGTATAGAACGACTACTAGTCTCGGTTAGCCGCTCAAACTCCGGCAACTAGCTAGGCTCGCCCTTCTTAGCGTAAGGATCGTACGCTAGTTCTTCCTCGGCTGACTAAAAGCTATCTTTATTACTTAAAGGCGGTTAAACAGCTAGCAGGTTATCGTCGAGCGGTAGCGGACTAGCGACCTTATTAGGCATTTGCTAAGCAGGTTCGTCCGGAGGCTCTTCTTGCTAGGCTAGAAGCTGCTAGACTACACTAGCGGCGTCGGCTAGTAACGGAGCCTCGTTGCTTATAGAATTAAATAGAGCCGGTATAATAGACTCGAGTATAACAAACTCGTTCTTAGCTAGGTCGTTAGGATTGGCGTATAGATTCATGCCCTCTAGAAGTAACAGCTTACTAGCCGTCTTAATAAATTAGATATCCTTTAATAGAATAACCTTATACTAGTTAGGGAGGTAAATTATATATTTTCCTAAGTCTACTAAGTCCTTAGCATAGCCGACTAGCTTGCTAATAAGGCCTCTGCTATCTATCTTCTTTCTACGAGCAACTCCGTAATTATATATAACAGCAGTATAGCTATAGGTACGAAGATATTAAAGGCGTAGCTGCTTTCGAGACTAATTAAGCTCCCTAGCTACAATAGTATAGGGGCTAAGACCTTCTAAGGTTCTAGGAGTAATATTAAGGACCTATATAGCAGTAGTGACCGTATACGGCTATAGGGCCTTTAGCAAATTCGTATAGAGCATTATCTTCCGAGCGGTCGTGTATACGATATAGTTGCTAACCTTAGCTAGGCTATTCTAAGTAGAAGAATAAGGTGCTATAACCTGCAGTATAATACCCTGATCACGAGCCTAGCTTAATAGCTGATTTCCGCCGTATTTACCCCCTCTATCGAGGCGGTAGATTAGGATCGAATAGCTAGTTTATATACGGACGTATACACGATAATCCTTAATAGCTACTGCAGCCCCTAACTTTAGTAAGCTAGTATATTCGTATCGATAGCCTAACTTAGCGTATATAAACAGTATAAAATAGCGCTCCTACAATAGACTAGGGTTAGTAATAGTAACTACATCTATATAGACAATGTAATAGATAGTAGATAGTCGTACGCGTAGTAGTCGATTGTATTCCTTGTATAATATAGCTATTCGACAGGCAATGCAGTTGCGGAAGTCGGTCTTGCTTCTAGTAATAACAATTTGACCCTTAGCTTCTATTCGTAACAGCTTACGGTAATAGATATAGCTATATCGTAGATACCACTCTTCTATCGTACCTGTTAGTACCCTCTTCTTCGATAGAAGCGCAATAACCTAGCTATCCGGACTAGAGGTTAGTATATACAGATAGGGGAGACCATTCTTGCGGTATATCTAAGCAATAGTAACCTTAGAGCCGTTAACAATAGTAAATAGTACTCGCTTGTTATTCCGATAGAAACAGCCCTTATCGGTAAGCTTCTTAGTAGATAGAAGGTTAGCTGCCAGACCTAGAACATACAGTGTATTAGACAGCTTTATGCTACTTACACTACGCTTATTAACAACCTCAGTCTAAGCTATACCAACTATCGTAGCGTACTTCGTATTGCCACGAAACCGGATAGGAATGTAACAGCCTTCGTATTTAATAAGCAATAAAGGGTTATTAACTATATATATACTAGTACCTAAGTCGACAACCTAATTAGTAGTATAAGTCGCTATAGTAAGTGCTATAGAAGCTGCGTTACTAACAGTAATCGCATTAAAGGCGTAGTTGCTGCTTAGGTCTAATAATACCCCCGGGGTAGCATTAGCCGTATATAGCCCCTAAGCACCATTCTAACTAGATAGCGGCTACTGCTAAGCAGTTAGTCTACGCTGCTGCTATTATTGCACCCCCTTCTTCTTAGCCTTCTGCTGTTTACGACGCAGTCGGTCTTCCTCCTTTAGGTAAGAGTACTTAGTATAGCAGCGGTTAGAAGGGTATAATCCCTAACAATAGGCGCACTTCTTACGGTTAGACTAATAACTATTCTAGTTGCTTCTACCGCGGCTACGACTATTATTGCTATTTCCGCGGCTACTACGACCGCTACGGTTCGAGTTACCTCGACCGTTGTTATTACTATTACTACCTTACTATTATAGTTAGCGCTAAAGACTAAAGAAGCCGTTATATTAGGCCTAGTTCAATTAAGCTACATTCTTATTAAGTAACGCGCTAATAATGTTGTTAAGGGTACTATTATTAATAGTGTATTCCGAGGCGCGCATTTGCTTACGGCGCATCTATACGAAAGCCTCGTAGAACGGTGCGATTTGTATAA